GCTGTCTCTTATACACATCTAGATGTGTATAAGAGACAGGGGGTGGGGTTTGGTGGAGGCGTATTTGGGGCAAAATCCACATCGTAATTGCATCGACCGTCATCCAGCTTATGTGGCCCGAGCTAACCACAACCCCTTTCTTACATAACAGGGCGCCAGTCCCTACTCACCTGCACACAATTGAATTTCTCTGCATTCTTGTTGTCAATCTTGTTGGCGTACATGACCGGGTAATTCACACCATATCTGCATCATCCAGAGAAGTCGAGAGAAGCATATGATGTGCACAGAACAACAAACACAAGGTAAGTCAACCGGTACCTGCCTAAGAAGCCCCACCCTATCTATCAGTCACCGACGACCAATGAAGCTTGACAAAAACAAAAAAATACCAAGCCGCAGTGAAGCATCGAAGAAGACAAGACACAACCATCTTCTGAATCAGAAATGTGAGAGAGGATTCACAATTTCACACCGCAAGCACCGCCCCACACACCAGGCTCTCCAGCCGGCCTTGGTCATCCCCACTGTCAAAGACATACGAACCTCAATGTGATGTGTCGACTACTGGCTACTTTTCCCAGCAGCCAATGTACCACTGCTCCCGTCTCCACCTCCCCCCCCCAACCGCCGCCGAATAGAAAGCACGGTCATCACCTGTATTTGCCCCTACTCTAGTCTAGATACAGCCCTAACGACCGAGCACTCTGTTCAGGGGAACAAGGTAGTGAGCATAATGACATCAATTATTGGGGCCCCCGGAATTGTCGATGGCACCACCAATTATGAGCCATGGAGAAAGAACGACCGGAGAGGATTCATAATGGGGGCCCACCCTCTTTCTTGACTGGATTTGGATTTAGTTTGGTTTGGATTGGATTGGATTGGATTGGGTTTCGATTGGGTTTCGATTGGGTTTCGATTGGGTTTCGATTGGATGAGATGGGATGGGATTGGATTGGATTTGGTCTGGTTTGGTTTGGATTGGATTGGGTTCGATTGGGTTAAGATTGTGTTGGGTTTGCGTTTGATGTGATTCAATTCTCCAGCAGCAACGGTCACAGAGGGCATTCAAAGAGTCTGTGTGGCTTTCTGGAAATCCGTTAACATTGGAACGATACAGACAAAGAGTAATTAACATGGCCCTGCGCAAGGATGACACGCATTAAAAAAAAAAAAAAAAAAAAAAAAAAAAAAAAAAAAAAAAAAAAAAAAAAAAAAAAAAAAAAAAAAAAAAGAGAGGAAGAAGGGGGGAAAAGGAAAAAGAGTTTGTGTGACCCGACAATAGAGCGCCAAAAAAAAAAGAAAATGCAACTTGCATGACGGCTACGTGCTCACACCAATTCGCAGATTGACACAATCAATGCCCGGTGACCACTGGGCCACGTGGTTAAACAACTTAACTTAAACAGCCGTGTAGCAAGTAGTTACGGATTTGTACACCTGGGCCTACTAAGCCCTCCTCCGTGCAAGCATGATTTCAAACCAGCGACCTCGGGCTCAACCACCCGTAGCAAAATGCCAACCCTAAGGTGCGGTTTAATTTTATTTCCGCAGAGAGCGTCGGGACACAGGTAGGCACTGGGCAGATGATTGATTATTATAAACTAAGAAAAGAAAGAATGATCGTGATGGCAAAACAAAAATGCTCGCAATGGATGGACACTCCGCCACAATCGACCACCAAATATTGACTAACCATAATTATAAAATATAGAGAGAGAGAGAGTCGGTGAAACTCCAACGAAACTGTTTGCCACAGCCCGTCGTTTGTTGTCCTCTTCTCCCCCCCTCTCTCTGCCTGCGGTTTACCGTAGGCAGCTCTGTTTGACGACGCATTTTCAATGCTTTGAAAACTTATCACTCAAAGCTTTGAGTGATACAGCACACCATATTCGCAAGGTGCCGCGTTATAAAAAGAAATGAAAAAATGCTTTGAAGGAACTGTTACAAACGATATTCCAGACTGTTTGGTGATAATGAATGCAAATCAGAATTCCATGGCCATGCTTGAAGCTAGTCAATTACATATACAGATTGTGTGTCTGATAGATTCAGATATTCCAAGCAAATTACAACAAAGAATTGATTATCACATCCCTGTGAATGATGATTCTCTAGAGTTCATACATATATATATATATATATAGAGGGAGAAGAGGACAACAAACGAGGGGCTGTGACAAACTGTTTCGTCTATATATATATATAAACTCCGACGAAACAGTTTGTCACAGCCCCTCGTTTGTTGTCCTCTTCTCTCTCTCTGCCTACGGTTTACCGGGCAGTTCTGTTTGTGACGATATAAACCGTAGGCAGAGAGAGAGAAGAGGACAACAAACGAGGGGCTGTGACAAACTGTTTCGTTGGAGTTTCACCGACTCATCAGGAGGCTGAACCTATATATTGTCACATCATCGTCAAATAGAACTGCCCGGTAATATATACAGGGTTACCTGACCGAACGTTCGGGGGCCCCCGGGCTGGCCCCCGAACGTTCGGGCGTTCGGGGTCCCGTTCGGGGGCCGAACACCTCCAGGTTCGGCCCCCGCCAAAAAAAAATTCGGGGCCTAAAAGTAAGTTTTTTTTTCTGAATTTTTTTTTGTGAGTTCTCTATGATGTAACCTACATGCTATAAATTTTGAAGCCATTCCGCTAATCCAAAAAAACATTAAAAATCGTCAAAGATGGGGGTGTCAAAACTTGCTCGCCCACTCACTATTTTGTTTTTTTTTCACTTTAACTTTTTGTTTTCACTTTATTTCGGGGCCTAAAAAATTTTATTATTTTTTGAAAACTTTTTAACGAGTTATTGATTATGTAAACTACATATCTGTAAATTTTCAGGGCATTTGTCAATGCCAAAAAATAATTAAAAATCGGCAAAGATGGCTGTGTCGAAAAGGTGCTGGCACACTCACTCATTTTAATTCTCTTTTTATTTTTTCTTATTATTATCATAGTGTTTATTTTCTGCATTTGATTTCTAATTCAAATTTGGTAAAGAATTTGGATGCAGTGCCCAGGCAAATGTTGTTTAGTTTATTTTTATCCATAACATTTTTTTTTTTTCGGAAGTTTTTGAAAACTTTTTTTTTTTTTTTTTTTTTTTTTTGGTCCGTGTTCGGCCTGAACGGCCGAGCGCCTTCCGAAGGGGTCCCGTACGTTCGGGCGTTCGGGTTCGGGCGTGCGGCCTGTCCCGAACGCCGGCAACCCTGCATATACAGCCTCCTGATGAGTCGGTGAAACTCCGATGAAACAGTTTGTCACAGCCCCTCGTTTGTTGTCCTCTTCTCTCTCTCTGCCTACGGTTTACCGGACAGTTCTGTTTGTGATGATATATATATATATATTTGACGATATATATATATATATATATATATGACCATGACCACACGGGGGATTTGCAAATGGCTGACCAGGATCATATGGATGAACCTCATACTTGTGCCCCACCCTGTGTGGCCCCGAACGCTNTTTTTTTGGTCCGCGTTCGGCCCGCACGGCCGAGCGCCTTCCGAAGGGGTCCCGTACGTTCGGGCGTTCGGCCCGTCCCGAACGCCGGCAACCCTGTATATATATATATTGTCACATTGTGAATATATATATATATATAGTCGAACAGAGCTGCCCGCTAAACCGTAGGCAGAGAGGGAGAAGAGGGCAACAAACGAGGGGCTGTGGCGAACTGTTTCGTCGGAGTTTCACCGAGTCATCAGGAGGCTGAACCCTCAAGAGTCTGCAGAATCCCCTAGCTGATTACACTGTAATTGCAATCAAACACACTACACAAAACAATCCGAGTACTGTCTGTACCGGTGAGTACTGTCTGTACCGGCTGACCTCTAGGGCGAGGGCCCAAGAGCAAAGAGGACTGCATTGAATGCCTGAATCTGGACGTGTTTGTGCAAAGGTGCAGAAAATTGGGGTTGAACTGCTTTCCTGCATCTCGGCTGGAAACACATCCAGATTCAGGAGCTTAATCCAATCCTCCTTTTGCTGGTGAGACCACGCCCCTCCACTTGTACCCATTTGTACGTTTACTTCCTCAACCCAGCACTGTTTCCATCTGTCAAATTCATGCACACCGAATTTTTTTGGAAGTTTCAATCATCAATTTCGCAAAGATCAAATAGACTCTCACAGACATGAGAATTACCAATTTCGCTGAAAAACCTCTCAAGTCCGCAGACAAATTATTTCGCGGAAATTTTCAAATTGAAAAGTCCCTCTGGAAAAAAAAAAAGAAGTCCTTGGGGACATCCGTTAAAAGGATCGGAACGACTGACTGGCCCGGCTCAGATGGTACACCCCTAAACTGAACTGTTGAAATACAGACCCGAGTTCGAGCTCCACTGGAGTCAAGAGGAGTGAAATACTACAATTCTGAATCACCTAGGGTCCGTCAGTTCTAGGATAATATCTCAAGGCTGTCGACATTCAAAACATAAACAAAAAAACAAAACAAAAAAAAGGGATTGGAGCGATATGGAGAAGATTGATCAGCATGGCACCTGCTCAAGGATGGCACACACAAGTCCAAAAAAACAGGAAACACGTTGAAAAATCCAAAATATCGGCATGTGATAATCAACTTCAACGTAACTATATATACATTCTCACTGCAAGCTTAGTGACCTGGATAGCAAATACGACTTTGTAAAAAATGTGCGAAACGTTTTGTGTGAAAGCGGTCCTCCAAGGAGGGAAGGAAGAATGATGCAAGAAGTAAATAACAGCCTCGTGAAGATTTTGTGCGAAAAGGGTCCGAGGAGGGAAGGAAGAATGATGCGCGAAGTAAATGACAGCATCATCAAGATGGGAATGAAAGTGAGCATTGACATCAGAGAAGTGAGGAGTTCTGTGAGAGAAGACAGGAAAAAGAAGGAGAGACTACTCCAGGGAACTGGAAGAGGTCAGGGTCTTAACGAAGGATCTGCTATGCACGGCCATCGACCAAAATACTGCAGAGACAGTTATCATGTGCCCGGAAGCGTACGCTACGGGTATGGAAACAATGTTTTGGAAGAATGAGAGCTTTGAGGCAATATGGGAAACGAAAGTGGAAGTTTTGGAAAAGAGCAAGCGGACGTACAAGGAAGTGGGGCTGGATTCACTGGGAAGGTGGGAATAGTCGAGGATGGTGCGGGCGGGCTTATATTATTACCAAATTTAAGCCACAAGTACACGGCCCCAGCCTTGCAGTCCGAAACTTGTCACCACAAGAAAACGAGTCGCCGAAACGT